TATATATGCGTCTAACAGTCAATTTGTCTAAATTGGAGGAGCTGCAATACCTACACGGGCTATGCCGGATCACAAGGGTCACTACGGCGCGAGCAAGTAGTGATGTTTTTCTATCAGGGGTGTCAAGTCCTGCGCAGCGAGGACAGCCCCACTTCACAGGGCTGAATACAATGGATGCAATTTTCCGCACAAGTAAAGTGTTGCATTGCACATACATTGGTCTCGATACCCATAGGTCGGTTTTGGAGTGGTTCGCGTTGTTTGATTATCGGCCTTTCGTTGGTGGCCCGACTGTGCGTGAAACGTCGTCGGGAGAATAGCGAGTTGGTTGTTGTGCAGAAAGTGTAAGTAAACTCTTCTGCTGAGATGGTACCAATATGCGTGTTGCTTGCAAATGCAGAAATTTTCTCAATTGAGGTCTAAGTAGTAGCTGACCTAGTATTTGGTATTCAATACACTGAACATTTTCAGTAAGGGTTCTATTGGAGAATCACCGCGCAGTCAAAATATATCAAACAGGAACAAGTCTCTACCTCATACAGAAATCGAGAGGAAACTCAACCCATACTATTCACTGTAAGGAGAAACACGAGTAAATGCACACAGATAGCACAAATACAATGCTACAAAACACACCGGACTGCGGAGAACCTCGCGGCTGAAAGTTTCTTTCCATTCGCCACACGAGCACGCGCCGCTTCGATTTCCTTCTGTTCCGCGTCGAGACGTTCGCTTTGTTCGGCAAATTCATCGTCGTGTGTCAGGGTCTATGGTGGGCATAGGAATTAGCACGTTGTGGTAAAGTTAAAAAGTGTGATACTTCTATCAGAAGAAATGATCAGGATAAGCGAGAGATGTGTAGGAGTATCGGTGCACTAACATATGAGGATCAGGATGAAAGCAAGGATAGGGCTCAGTGCAGGACGGCCATTGCGTTTGTGCACACAAATCAAATACTTGGCAGCATTTATTTAAGCACAGTAATGTGATGGCGATGCAGACACGTACATCTCCTAAAAGATAGCTATCCAGTGTCTGTCACACCGTAGCCTGAAGTATACAGCCGAACGTAAGCCATGACATATGATATTCATTGTTTCTGCTTAGGGAAATGGCTATTTTCTTTCCACCCTGAACCGTTCCTTACTTCTACTGAGATACCTTCCCCTGAACCGCATCGGTGTTTAAACCACTGTCGCCGGTACTTCAGAGATGCAGCGCAATATATATACACTTAACAAAGAAAATCTATTTACGCATTAGAATGAATAGACTCATTAAAGGCATTGCCATCGGCTACCGTTCCCCTCCTTCTAACCTATTCGCCGTTACCACACACACACCTGTGATGAGTGGGTTATGTCATCCCTCACCAGAGCGCTATGGTCCTCAGTAGTGGAAGTGTTGGCGCTGCTCGCGCTGGCCATGGGTGTCGCTTGGATGGGTGCGGTTACTGACTTGCTACCCTTAGGGGCTGGTTTTGTGGTGCTGAAGTTGAGTGCACCTCGCAACGGCTGGTCGTGGTTGAAAGCGCGTATGGATAGGCGGTGGGGAATTAATGAATTGTGAGCAGTTGTATTATGTTTGGGCTGAATGTTCGCGAAACCGTTAGAAGAAACACAATTCCAGCTCGATTCTGTAAGGAATAAGCCGTACTATCATGGGGTGTATCATAAACAGAGCTAGAGCACATCGTATACGATGGACAAGCATCGCCAAGGCGTTGATACACACAGTTCTCCCTGGCGTTTTTACAATGCCGCCTATACAAAACATACGATACAAACACCCAAGCACCCTACAGACCCCGTCTAAAAACACCAATAACCGAATAAGCACACCCACCTCAACCACTGGAGTACCCGGCACACTGCCTCTGTGCACGATCTTCCGTTGCGTCTCCTCGAAGTGCTCGGTCACCAACCCCAGACGCTCAGAGTCCATGTCGTTCTCGCCTGAGTACGCTTGCACCTCAGACTGTACGTCCTCCAAGCCATTCGCATCAGACAATACTTGCCCGGTTGTTCCTACGGGCCTGCTGCCTATGTGTGTAGCCGTATGTACGCTATTGGCCGTCGTCATGGTATGCGTTACCTCCGCCCCACCAGGCGCCTTCGCTGCACGGGCATCCGCACTCGCCGCGTGCTGTGCGTGGCGCGCGGGAGACTGCAGCGGGTGGTCTTGTTGCAGGCGCTCCTCCGTGTGTGTGTGTGCTAGTATGTCGGTGGGTTGGTCGCCGGTTTCCCGCTGCTTAGTCTGCAGAAGGGTCCTGTGCGGCACAGACTCCGCCTCTGATACACCCGTCTCTCTCGTCACTGCTGCCTTGCCCGGGGCTCTCGTGCCTCTCTCGCGGCTATCCTCCGTAGTCTTCCTCTTACTGGAGAGATCTGCAGCACCTCCGTCGTCCATTCCATGGAGTGTGTCTGACCTCCCGTGGCCCACAGCACTCTTAGGCGCATCTGCTCGCTCTAACATATCTCCCTCTCGCCCAGTTTTGGTACCGGGATGCAGGGCCGTGTCAGTGTCATGTGGCCATGTTGCTGGCTCCATCGGAGGTATTTGAGCGTTGTCCTTCGCCCGTGCTGCTGTCTGCACTTCCGCCCGCGCCGCTGTGGAGATTGGCATCGTCGTTGTGGTGACCGTGTTTGTGGTTGTGGTTATGTTCGTCGTGGTGGATGTGGCTGTGACGGTGATGGGCCCCACGGGCACAGGCGCCTTCAGCAGCGATCGAGAGTGGCCAGAGGTAGGTACTGAGGCCTTCTGGGAGATGGAGGGTGGCTGTGTTGGTCTATTGGTGTGTGTTCCCAGCTTCGGCTTCTTGGCACCCGCAACCTCGGCAGGTGGATGTGTGGATTGGACTAAAATCTTGCGTTTGCGATCATGCGTTTCCTGAATCGGGACGAATACAGATATATTTTTAGGGGTGGCCAATTTAGGACCGATAATTGATTATGATTTGCGCTGTTCGTCTTACAGGTCCATGTGTCTGTGTACTGTGGATTGTTATCATTGCAAATGTGTAAGATATATAGGTATCCATGTATATATGTACAAAGGATACCCATGTTAACTATAGCTATAGTCATGAAACGGTGATGGATGAGATTGTCAGAGGTCCTTCGCATGTGCTGCTTTGCTGTTTTAATCTCCAACAAAATGCATAACTTTCAATTCCCAAGATTGCTGGCGTAGGATCGTAAAGAGAGTATAGCGGGAAATCTCATTTAGTCAACCACAAAAATTCGTCCCTTTGTAAAGATGAGGACATGCGCGAGAGAGATCCTCAGTATACGTATACTCCTAATAGCCTATATAACAACAAAATTATCTGTCGTTGACCAGATTTCAACATATCAAGGACTGGCTCGGCTCTATGACAGAAAACGCGACAAACTCTCGTCGAACAGTCATAGACACAGATCACCTGACATACACAAAACTTAATTTGAATGCGGATCGCTTCGCAAGGTCTAAACCCCCACGCAGTACAAAAAACACACACTATCTATAACACTCACTATAGCGCACACATTAGTGGACAACTACAATCTCACAGACACACCTCTTTCATTCCCTTGAGACGCGCTTTGCGATGCCTCTCTCGTTCCTCCTTGTCCTTTATCTTGCGTTGTCGCTCGTTCTCTACGTGCGCAAGGTGCTCGGCCATCCGCTGCCTTTCCTTCTCCTCCTTCTCTTGTTGCTTCCGAAGTTTCTCGGCTTGGATACGAGCAATGTTCTCTTCCTGACGCCTCTTACGCTCATCGTAGCCCCCTACTGGTACAGAGTGGTCGTTTGGTTTTATTTAGCATATTGAGAAACGCTGGCATTGTTCTTTAAAGTACAAAGCCAGAATCGAACTTTATAAAAGAGAAAGATAAAAATATAAGGTTCGCAACGATATGTCGGACACACAATCAACACGGCAAACCCATGCCTACATACGCAGGAGCATATATGGGCGCGATTCAGAAAAGACAGTACGTTCACAATGCCAGTTCATATACACAACAATACACATGCATGTGCTGTACGGCTTCACGAATATAAAACAGTAGATACTTGACACGTCCAAAGGCAACCCCCTAGATACAACCGCGTATGATCTGTGCCTAAAGCAAACTCATCGACGTACACTGTCTATATATAAGCTATCTAGACAAGACGACAAATAATCGCATGCTTTTCACATACTTTTCTTTTTTGGCAATGCAGAAGGCCCTGGCGCTACAGAGTCTTTGTGGGGAGGACGGGTGAAGCGGGACGCATTACCTTGCACCTGCCTGACACTTTTTAGGGCCATCGGTTTCTGTTTGTCCACTACCGACGCCTGGGGCATAATACCCTCTGCAGAGGAGAGTCAGAGCATTTGTGGGTGACGAATAGCAACAACATAAGAAGTACAATCCTGAGAGGCTGAAAGCACCAGAGCTGTTCTGAACTAGTGGGAGTACAGTGTTTTCAATTGGACCGTCTACTCCTACTGTCTGAATTTGTATGGCGCAAGCTGAGTTCGGTACACAATTTTCGTAATCAAGCGCATCGAAATTGTATCCAGAAATGGGACAATAAACAACCTGCGAGATGGACACAGATGTGTTTCTAGCTCGACACAAATTGCGATAGATACACAAAAGTTTTCTACTTGATGAGGACAGTACCTTTAAGCACCGGCACGGTACCTGCGTCAACCTTATCTTTCGTTGTGGTCGCTTGTGCTGGTGGTGGGGGATACTGATGTTCGTCCACAGGGGTTTGAGGCTTGGGAGCACCTTGGGTGGCATGTGGCAGGACAGCAGGCTTAGCCGCGGGCGTCTGTAAAGGCGTCTGCGATGGCGTTATAAAGTTGGATTCAGACAAATCAATAGCACTGCTGCTAGTGCTTCTCTGTGCCACCACGTGTTCGCTCTTGACTCCCGCTTTCGGATTAATATCCGCCTGTGGTTCTGGTGCATTGTGTGGCATCTCGTGTACTGTATCCTTTGGCGTGTCCATGTCATCAGCGGCGCTCTGAGACTGTGAAATTTGTATTGCTACCTGTCGCTCTTCCTTTTTGACTATGCCGGGCTGTTGCTCCGTTGCTGGTATGGAGGTAGTGACTATCTTGTCGGGACGTTTTTCTTCGTTTCCGTCTGTGCTTTCTTCTACCTGTATGCTCTTTGAAACTTCGACACCTTCTACCGACTCCGCAACTGGCGGATCTCTTTGCCGTCGAGCGTCCGCAAACGTGTCATCCGCCTCTGTCAGTAAGGGACCCACACCGCTCTCACGCCTCATCGGCATGGGACCGAGTCCACTCTCTCTGTCTCTGTGATGTGTGTATGTTGTTTCTGCTCGGTGTTTCCTAACAATTGTTTCCTCCTCACGTGCCGTAGTCCCCTTATACACACGCGCGCCACTGTTCGCACCATCCTCAGTGTCGTAGGTTAGAGTCTCCTGCCTCAGTTGAGTATTGATGCGCGTGGTGGGCCGCACTTTGACAGCGGTCTCGCGCCACCCGAAACATGTATCGGCAGCACTCCGCCGCCTCTCTCCACGTGGCTCAGCGATATCTACCTTTGATCTACTGTCGCTGTCTGTATTCATAGTACTGACTGCGCTTCGAGCAGACGCTTTATCCGTTGCCTGTTTAGTACCATGTGGTTGGTCCATCTCAGTCGCATCAATCTCTACCACTCGCGGACTGTCGGGCTCAGCTGTTTCTGAGGCACCGTTTCCCGCTGTCCGTAGCCCTCTAGCCGAGGGCCGGAATAGCTGTGCCAAATGAGTTTGCGACTCGATTGTTGTAGCTGCGCTGTGTGCCTGCATTGTGCGTTGATCCAGATCCACCTCGCCACTTCGCACTGTTCGCGTCGCAGCAGGCGCTTTGTAGGCCCCAACATGTGCCCCGGGCTCTTTGAATTGGACAAGTACGCCGTCTTTACCTACGCTAAGCCGTGGGCGTGGCACCGCCGAGGGTGTGGCGAACGAGTTCGCACTCGTGTTGAAGTTCGATCCCGACCCACCTCGACTTACAAACGAAGCATCCTGAACGCCACTGGTTTGGCGATGGCGGTACGCATGGCTGGACCTCCTACTATACCCACCCATACACATACGTATACTCATGCGCGAGTTCCCCAAAGTCATCGAGCCGGCTACTATAGTCAGCGGGGATTCCTCCGACATGGCCGAGGTGCCCCCGCCCCTTGAGTGTGGACGATTGCTGTCTATCTCTGACCCGTTGAGGCTGGCTTGCGGTGTGGATGCCACGGTCTTCTGCACCATAGGTGTGCCGAGAAAGGTGGCGTTGATTGTTGCGGTGAGTGCACTCGACTCGCTGCTCACATTGGACTGGGTCATTTCATGACCCTGGCGCCCGCCAACCGTTCGGATGAAGCTGTATTCGTGCTGTGCCACACTCTCAGTCGCTCCCGGAGATGCAGCGACGCCCTCACTCGCTGGGTGCACGTTTGCGTTGTGTAGTGGATTCCTCAGGCGCACGGTGATGTCTGCCATGCTGCCAGCCTCGCTCACATCAAGTATGTGCTGCTCTGCTTCGGACAGTCGTCCTCCGTTGCTTGGCAACCCTTGAGTGGCTCGTTTTCCTTGTGCGATCGTGGGCGATGAGGCGTATTGGGTTTTCTCAGGATCTGCAGTTTCTTTATCTAACCTCTCTATCGCACCGCTATTCTCAGATTGAGCATTCTCAACGCGCACGATACTTGCGGGAGGGTTCGTGCCTACCTCTTTCTGTACCGCTTCATTTCTTACAAGTGAGCCAGAGCGTACTGGTTGAGGTTTCTCCCCCCAGATTTTCTCACTGACAGGCACGGGGTGGGCTACTCGACGCTTTGGATTGTCCATGCGTACACTCTCCCCTACGCGATAACCGTTGTCGTCGGTGAAGTGGGCAATACGCGTGCTTTCAGCCAGATGGTGTGGTGCAGGTGCTTCAATTGGTGTCCCGAATGCCTCACCACCTTTATGTTGCGGTGGTCCATTGTCATCAAAAAACGCTGGGGTGTGTTGGTCATTGTTAGACCTTGTGTGTGGGATATGTTGCTTGTCTCCGTGCTGCTGTTCTGCATTCTTCTCGTGTGCAGCTGCATGTGTGTCAGTCCTATCTTGTTTCGTACCCCCAGACTTCGTCGCAGTGCCCTCGCTATTGCGGGACGTGTCTGCATCTGAGGTACGTGTAGACCTTTTATAATTCTCCCCAAGCCAGTCAACGTCCGGAGCCTCCCCGGCTGTACGCGCTATAGACTCAACATCATCCATTTTACTGTGCGGAGATACAGGTAAGACCGCACCAAGCTGTACTATAACATTGCTGCCACAGGGGTGGTGAATTGGTGGAGGACTCGGTTTATCGCTCTTGTCCGCGCCGTGTGAGCCTTTTTCCAACGCAGTACCTGTACACGTACAGTGGTTGCCCATGGCTGAGCTTGATGCTATCCTCTCACTCCCCCGAGACTGGGTGGAGAGATCTCCTGTTGTGCTCCCCCTGGGAACGTGTGTCTGTGTCATCTGCAGTACACTTCCTACTCCACCTCTGAGACTCTGGACGACGCTGACAGTCCCTTCAGCGCCATTCATTGGTTTCCGCAGTTCTATTGCAGGTGTTGTGGTTGTGTGCGGTAGCAACGGGCTCGGACCATCGAGCACTGACGAACACCCAAGCGTGGGTTGTAGGTACACAGGCTTCGTTGGCACTTGAGTGTCGTACTGATCGCTATTTTCTGAACCTTTAGAATCAGACAGAGACCGCAGCCTCACAATGCTTCGGCTGGACTGCCGCCTGGGGTGGGCGATTGTGTCGCTTGCCGCACTTGTGGTGTTAGGTCCATCTGTGTCAGCTTTCAGGATCTCTGCATGGCTGGACGTGGGGCATTTGTCCAAAGAGGCCACAGTGGCATTGTGGTCCTCTTTTGCACCCATACCTGCGACTTGATCCGTGGATTTCTCTATCGACGCCGGTTCTATCACGCCCACCAATGACTCATTTGCGACATTGCTTGCCGTCTGCGCGAAGGTATCGTCCGTGACCATGTGTTGCACTGCATGGATGTGCTTCGCGCCAGCTTTTGTGAAATCCGATTGCGATCGGACAGGTGTCTGGTGTGCTGGGGCTGTACTTGCCACACTCGTCACATGTGGGGCCTCGGCAAAAACCAATATGCCAGACATGTCTAGTGCCGATGCGCGCGGTAGAACTATCCCGGACGTGTCAAGTGCGGACGTGTTAAGTGCTGAGTTATCCAGTGATGAATGCTCGATCATTCCAACATTGGACACGTTTCGTTCTACAGCAATCATGTCGCTTGCCATCGCCCCTTTGATGTGCCAATCTACCTTCTGGGTTTCCGTTAGGTGTGCAGAATTCAACGACTCCGTTAATTCTTGGTCCACGCCTGCCCCTATCGCGCCGCCATAGGGTGGAGCTGGCTCGATCTCGATTGCGATTCTAACATCCCTTGGAGTGCCTTCCGATTGCTTATCAGAGTCCTTTATGTTTTCGTTCTGCTTTGACGTCGATAGACCCTTCGAGTGTCCAGTAGCCGGGCCTCGCATCAACCCGCCACTCGTCGCAGCACTGGCAGGACTGCCCATATTCGGCACAGAATACCTACTGAGTGTCGTACCGGTATGCCCTGCACCTGCACCCCGACCCCTAGCTTTCTGCGGCGTGAGTGCTCGTGACCGCTTCGCCCTGGACCCAGTGCCGGGTGTGCGGTGATTCGGGGCACAGGGACTCGCACCGAATCTTCGAGGAGTCATGCGCTTCGCGCACTTCTCAGCCCTCTCTCTCGTATGCTTCGGGGTGGGCGTGGCCCTCTTTTCCGTCCCTTCAGTTCCCACATCTCGTTTCGCCGGTGTGTGGATATCTATATCGCTAGCTAACCTTACGGGCTTCGCCCCGGGCGCTGCAGCTGCCTTGGTGCTACCAGCCGGTGGGGTGTGTGGATGGGATTGCGAGTCTTTTAGGTTTTGCCCGGCAAGTACCGTACTCGCTGCCCCTGCACGCACCGTCCCATTTCCGCTCACAGGATTGATCGTGCGACCGGGCTCCCCAGAACTCTCATTTGCAGCTATGCCAAAAAGGGAACAAACATTCCAGAGGGAAGGGTGTGCATGAGGCTCTGAAGAATTGACCCCGTCTAGAAAATTACATTAATCTAAAAAGACTTAAATACACAGGGTAGAAGCACAGTCACAATCGGTATTGAGACGGCAATTTCCCCTATAAAAAAAAAACTCACCCGTTGATAAGCTAAAGCCGTATGGTCCCCGTTCCAAATATGCATAATGAACGCCCTCCTAACAGAAGTACATATAACTGAGCACACAAGTGCATACAGTCCGCAGAACCCGACCCACAACACTCTGACACGACATCTTTTCATACTTACGTTTCTTAGTTAACGCGGTATACGGCTCGATCTGCGCATTTGTAATGTCAATGAGCGGTGCAGTGTCGCGTTCAATTGCCACGGACCTTTCCAGATGCTCCTCCTTCACTCCACAGGGCAGAGCTAAGTTCTGGGGCAGCTTGAACTGATCTAGCCAGGACATGTGTGTCTGTGATGACCCAAGACAGAGTTAGATTTCGTTTCAGTGATACGACTACGGCAGGTTCATATGAATGCTAAATCTATACGATATCACCGTGTGACTACCATGAGCAACACCATAATCCAAATGGCACAGTTATATGATAGAAACCGCGAGAGCGGCTGGCAGGTTTGTCTTCCGAAGCAATGAATTGGCTTGTAGGTGTAGATGAGCGGGCCAATTGTGCTAGGTAGCCTGGTCCATACGGACCTAAATCAGGCGCCAGTCAAGGCATTTCCAGTCAGCAATGCTTCCCTATGGAAGAACCCTGTTCCAATCTCTGACCACTATCGACTGACGATGTAAGCCACGCCAGATAGTATTCAAGGCTACTAACACATGTCCCACGTGAAACAAAAACACACTACATGTGAACATTTCGTCGAGGCACTATTATATTGCGCGGGCAAAGCAATAGATTGTCTTCGCATTCGAGTCTGCTCATAGGTCATATCTGATGTCGATAACACCACAGAGTGCATGTTTGAACCAGACCACATTTGAAACTAAATAATTACTTGCATGCAATGAGAAGCAGGGGAAAGGAGACACCTATTGCCGCTGCAAATGAAGGTCCGTACTTGGAAGAAGCAAAATACTATGGAATACAAATATATACTATTCGGATCCGAGGGGTCCGTTTGCCCTACACTACTCGTATTTGAACGTAAATATACATACATGGACTGTAATACGTAAATGATGTTGTAGAATGCAAACAATATCGAATATTTTACAAAGATTGTGTTCAATGTACGTGTATAGAGTTCCAAGTAGCATGTAGGTAATAGATATGGCTCGGCGCCCTTCTGACGGTTTCCCGGTATACTTAATCTGCAATCCGATTACGTCAAACGAGACGTATTTTTGTACTAGTTTAGCAGCAGCAAGATACACGAAAGTGATATAATGAATGCAGAGGTGACCCTATGGCCGAGGGATCGCTTTAGTTGCAGATCCTTGTTCGTGATCGGGCTATGGTTCTGCCTATACACCCGCACACGCACAATGCACGGCGCACGCACATACCACAGTGAGCATATATATCCATCGACCTGTGTACAGCCACCTACAAGCATAGCTATGTATACATACACATATCTATGAGTCCGTGAGCATGCTGTCATACACACATGAGTTCATCTGTACGTCCAACATCTCATACCCGCGCCTCTTGTAGAAGATCGACTTCGCTCTGCTTGAAGACGGAATGGAGATCATCATACGCCTGCGACACTTGATTGTCGACATCGTTGGTCACCATATTTACGTCGTTTAATCCTCACAAGGATGGAGATACAAGTCTTCCCAGGTTAGTCAGAAAATTAAATGGGCAATGGTACCTATAACACCTATCGACTACTAAATACTCCGAGCATACTCATATGCCACTTTTCTTAAAAAGAAGCGCGGGGGCGGGGGGGGGGGGGAAAGGAGGAAGTACTATTCTGTTTAGTAATGTATCAGCATAGCTATAAAAAATTGCTGCATAGTAATCGGAAGTTGTACACTGGTTCACACACGTACACACGCAGGCTATGGTCCTATAAACGAGCTATTCCTCTATAACTAAATAAACGAGCTATTTACATATTTAAAAAACTCTATATACATATTTATTGAAGATGTCAAAGTGGAAGTTAGAACAAAGGCGCCCAAATTGCAAACGCGTCCTGATTGGTTGGGGACTACAGCGTTTAGGTTCGTGATAGTGGAATGTGACGGAGAACTAACGTCGTACATGGTGTCGTACGAAATATAATACGACATTGAATATCGTTTTTTCATACGACTTCTGCTCTATCAGTGTGATGAGGTCAGTCTGACAGACTGACTCAGTGACACTGCTCTGAATATTTTTAAATAGAGTGACAACTGGCAACTGACAAGTGACAGGTGTGAAGTGTCTCACTGTCAAGGACACATTTCGGGGGGTTTTTTTATAAAAAAATCAATGTCCACCTCAGAAAATCGAAAACACGTACACACAAACATACGCCAACGCACAAATTTATATCTAAATATATATGGGGTCATAAATGAGACCTACAGTCTGCAGACGCTCATTATAGTTTCTACAAAGACACTACGAATAGTTACACTTTATTTGTATACCTTGTTTATATTATCCAACTGACGCGAAGTTGCCTCTCATCGCTATACGCATAACTTCTAAATAGAATGAGTCAAGTCACGAGTACTCTGCGGTCGACCTTACGAGAAATCAACAGACAGGTATGTATCTTCCCCTAAGTGAAGTTATCGGTTTGAGAAATATCTATGGGAACAAAATGAGAACTTTTAGAATATTATCACGTTTGCAACTATTCCTTTCATCAATATACAAATAAACATATTGAACTTATGTAACTGCCAATGCTTGATCTCATTATGTATATGTATGTATATATATATGTGTGTGTGTGTGTGTGTGTGTGTGTATGTATGTGTGTGTTGTGTATGTATGTATGTACATCTTGTACATATACACAGACATATTCAAATAGGCATCTATGTATAAATATATATATATATATATATATATATATTCGTGTGTTTTTGTGTGTGGCTGTGTCTGCTTATATTTATACGTATATATATGTTTATATATATATATATATATATATCTATCTATTTATTTATTTATTTATTATGTGTTCGTATATGTGTGTAGTTAGTGAACTGCTGAGCATCTTTTCAGATGTTTTGATACATAGGTATAGTTGCTAGAGCAACCTGCTCACACTTCTGTATATATGGATATTGTATGTAATGGTTTTTATGGCGCAAGTTTTCTCATTCATTTGTGTACATTTTCCCTCCTCCAATATTCAGTCAAGTCGTATTCAAATGTATGCATTACCGATGAACACATGATTACCTTTGTGTTATTATAGCCACAGATTTTCTATGTTCGTGGTACATTTTTCGGAAGTTACATAGCATAGTTGTTCGTAGTGTTCTACATTAGTCCTGTATTCCGATTCTGATCTAGCTCGCTCTAATCCCCTTGTGCAACTGGTGTGTGGTACAGAATGCCCCCCAGCATGCAGCACCACTTCGCCGCTATCTGGTAGACTTATATCGCAACAATGCTACCGTTGACGGCGACAAACTGCGAGAGGTCAGAGTGGACGCACTCGATTATCTGGCTATGTTGAGAAACCATAACGAATACAAGGTGTGGTGTTTAATAATTGTCACTGCTCCCTAGTTTTATGTAAGAGAGGTTTCAATCGGAACGACAACGCCTCTTTAGTGCGAAAGAACTATTTTGAAACGACTCCCACTATTGGCTCCCAAGTTATACTTTTCGACTTGACGTCGTTATCATGGCCGCCTATGCCGTTGTGCTGTAACTAACCTTCGGTTACACATCTTGAATGTAACAGAGGCTCTTCGAGTTATACTACCCGAGCGACAGCACCGAGAATAAGAAGATAGTGCAGAGTGCTGCCAAACGAGTTGGATTGCAGGCTCCAATTGAGTATGATCCTGAGAATCCCACTGCCAATGATCCTAACGTATATAACGCTGCACGTAGATCACATAAGGCAGATCAGGACAGTGCAGCTACTTTGGAACCGTTAAGAGACCCAAAATAAATCTACGTACTTTGTAGGTTTCTGGATTTTGATCTTGGGCATTTGTTTTGATTCCTGCCTTGTATGATTAACCCTGAATTGTAGTCACGGGATAGATTCCGGACTTGGATATATTTACTGTCTTTCGCGCATATTTTGTTTCGTGAGTTGTCGAGCACCCGTCCCAGTGCATCCTGATATGTGCGAGCGCTTCAAGTCCTCAATTCACAATCACATGAATATGTCTGGTCCCAACCTAAATTGTGACACAAAGTTCTATACAAAACTCTACACTCGATTATAAGGAATAAGAAGTTCCGGTAGCTACGTAGTAGCACAGAGTTGAAAAAAAAAATGATATGGTAGTGCAGAGATGGAACTAGTTTCTATGTGCTTTATTCCTGTTCATTTCCAAAAAGGGGATTTTGTTACAATAATGAGATACGATCTCATCCAGTACGTTGACGCTAGCGCTGGATCAACCAAACTATCTCATTACATACATCGAGGCAAGCGTTGGTTCAACCAAGCTGCCCGGGCTAGTACTACTAGGATGTCTACCAGTGACCTTCTGCGCCTGTCGGAATGTCTGCTCCATCGCGTGGCTCGGGTATACGTGGTTCGTGTGCGCATGTGCATGTGCGTGTGCATTGGCGTGCAACTGTGCGTGCTGATTGTGGTTGCTTTGAAGACTGGGCCCGGCCCAGGCATCTCTTCTCACCCAAGTGAGATCATCCACTAAACGTCCAGCGTTCTGCGAGGGCTGGGTGCCATTGGACATACGAGCGGGTGATGCATACAAAGATTCATTCCCGTGTCCATAATAGCTTCCCTGATCTGGTCTGTTGTCTTGTTGAGCACCTACATTGGGACCGCCGAAAGGCGAACTGAAGAAGCTTGATACTTCCTCAAACGAATCATTATTCTTATCGCTGACATCCTCGTTCGATTCGAGTAGATTCAACAAACGCATACCTTGCTCGAGTACTCCTTCATCCAGCTTCAAGTTTGAATCTGAAACCTCACTATAACCGGTTCCACTCGTATGTTGCTGCTGCTGGCCGAGCCCCATAGGCACGTAGTCTCTTGGACCACCTGAATTCATCACATCACCGATGCGAGAGGTTGGAGGGCCCGAAAGTCCGAGGGGAGCTTGAATAATGACCTCAGAAGTATTTGAAGAAGCCTCGTACTGCATCGTATCCATCGAATTCAATGTCTGTGGCCAAGAAAACATAGAACTTCGGGGAGGCGGTGCGGAAGTTGCACGTGGCCGTCTCAGATTATCCGATACATGATTTGGGATCATAATTGGCCTGCCACTTGCGCGTGAATTAAAAGCTGATCCCATATCACCTACATCACGGTATTGAGCATCCACATTCGGAATATCATTCAAATTCTGCGCCTGTGTCGAGTTGGCTGAGAACACCCTATCATCATTTCTATCGAAGATACTCGACATACGTGAAGTATGACCGACCGATGCCGAGTGCATACTGTTATCAGCGTCGGGGATTGCTCGCATATGCGAAGGTTCAACGAAAGAGTGATGCTCAACTTTGTGCTCAGGGTTGCGGAAGATCACGTCCTGTTGCAAAAGGCGAAAGTTCACTGGTTGCTGAGCGTTGTGAGCCGATGCCATGTTTTGCTGCAATTTAACAGGATATCTAAATGACATCTTCTCCTCACTCGCTTGACTCACTCTCGCAGCTGAATTGGAGATTTCGAAATTAGTGTCACTGTAGCTTGACAAGTTCGAGGATTGCGGTGGATTGCGCATTAGGGGCGAAGACATAGTCGCAGGCAGAGGCTCATTTTCAGCCTGACAATTCCAGTTTTCAGCCATGAACTCATTGTATCGATCAATTGCTTTGAGCAAGCGCAATCGAGCGCCTCTGGCGTGCACCCCAGTCTGTTCTAGCGCGTCTTCGTCCATCTGGATGAGCTTGGAAAACACAACATTGTGCTCTGCAAGGGTGTCGGTGTACTTGTGCAGACGTATGTGCTTAAGAAATGAAGGCACATCGAAATTCTGTAGCTCTGTGAAATCCAGCGTATCAACGGAGTATCTTCGCTTACGTTGCTGGCCCTTTTCACCTTTGCCCGTGTCATCGTCCAACGCCAACGCACCTTTGCCTTTCCTTACTCGTGAGATCGGAGAGGCACGGCTGTTCGAGCGAGAAGCTCGTGTTTTGTTCTGATTCCACAAGGATACCCCTGAAGAACTGTTCGGGCGCGCGTGAGCCTCTGAGGATGACATACTTTTCGCCAGCTGAGACTTGGGGGCGTTTGTACTTCCTCTCAGATTGTATTTGCGTGCATAGTTGTCAGATCGAGCAGTGATCTGCCCATGGTCTGTGTTGCGTTTACCCTGCGATATGCGGGACGAACTATCCTGCGTCGATATAGTATGGCGTCGATTTACACCAGGATGAAGCTGTCGCAAATGTTTTGGTACAGAATTTTTATACGTTTGTTGTCCGTTGTTGACAGACGATTTGTCTTCTGTATCTCTACGTTGCTTTCCAAACTCCGAAGATTTACCATCGTTTTTTATTCCAGAATTCTCAACGCCCTTCGGTGCATTCGAATCCGTCCAAAATGGGCGAGCATGAGGATTCAAGTCTGATAGATCTTCTCCAGGAAATCCATCCGTCATATTCTCCATAGTATAATGATCGGGTAGCTGCTTCGGTATTGTTGGGCGTGATGCAAAGACACCTCCGTTTTGTGCAATAGAATATCCACGCATTTCCAATACGAATCTAGCTCAAGATGCTACCCGGTGGTCAGGGCTGTACTGTAGGCGATTCGTTGTGATATAGACTGACCTCGAATGATTCTCTAATACTGACCACAACTTGACGAATAGGCACCTACAGTCACCTCCAACAGTACGCACCTAATAATGATGCCTAGTTTGAATACGTACAGACTTAAGTATATTTCGATTCTGATCGAAAATAATTTCACAAGACTTAAATTTTCTCCAGCTACCAGTTTGGTCGTTACGACTTACGAGTTTTTCGAGTAGGGCTTTTTGAATTTTCTTACGTTGCTCGTATAATAAATATGATATATCCAACGGCTACTCATTCTTTTAAAAAAATGCTTTCCCGAGTTCCACGACAGATATTTGTGTGATGACTTCCTGTTCAGTGTTCACTGTCCAGTGTTCCCTGTTCACCTGTCCCTTGACCTCGAGAATCGCAACCACGGCTCGCACAGCGGCAAAGGACGCACACCCCATATTCAGGTCAATTTGACTTTTCAGTCGACCCCAAATGATAAACAAAAATAAATAATATGAGGGGCTCTCCAGGGCGGGATTGGGATCGCTGTAATTTTGTTTTGAAAAAAAAATACGGTTTTTTTACCAGTTTGTTTGTTTTATTTTTATTTTACGATCACTCCAGCAGAGTCCAGCAGCTGGTTCTGCTAAGCAAATCAAAAATGTCCAAAGTCGATTTAAAATAGAGAGAAGTGTATTTTTATATTTTTTTTTATTTGTTTATAGTTTTTTTTTAGTGACGGGAGACGCGAAACCTGAGGCCCAAGGGCCGAGACCCGAGAGCCAGAGACACTCTGTGGCACTGTGCCCTGAGGGCTGTGGCCCCTTGTCAGTGCTGTGAGCAGTGAGCCTGTGAGTAAAGACTGAAGACTGGACTTCTGAAGTCTGTGACTGTGACTGATGACTGGTGACTGGTGACTGGGGTGAGTGGTGACAGTGGGGAGTGGTGAAGAGTTGGTGACACAGCAACTTCAAAGTTCAAATACAGCAACAAACTGCCTAAAGTGGAAATGACCAATCAAACCTGAAGTGGTCACTCTATTTTATTGGAATGTATTGTAGCTAATCAAAAGGTAGTTGCAATATTATTATACCAATAGCATACAAGAGGAGGTAAAAGCTAAACGACAATAAAGTAAAATCATTTTGAATATATCGTATCTAATTAAAATGCCAAAACACAACTTCACAACAAGTCTAACTTTTACGTATTGAGCGCAGTTGATATTTGACATGAAGATGTTTTCATTTTAGCTGACAATTGTCTCTATACTTTTATGACAGATACTAAAAAAACCCACTTTCAAAAGGCTGTATTTCTATATATACATTGTATAGTATTGAATTCGTATTTGCAGCATGTTGATACCTCAGTCTAAATGCGCTCGATATTCTTTGCCAACGATAGTGGTGTAAACTATATCGGTCTGCATCAATCAGCCACACAGTGGGTAAGCAGATATCGCTCGATCCGTGCTGATAGCTTTATGGATGTGGTATCCCGCGAGTAAAAGTACATTGTTCGTTTAAAGACCATCGTATGTGTGTTGTACGTTACATGTGATACTATAAGGAATAGGTTGTGGTCAACCGTTCTTCAGCATCAGCAGCCTTAGATAGTGACACACCTGGCAAATCCACGTACTTCGCGAGTATATTGACTGAACGAGTTCTAGATTTGTACATGATCAGCATCTTGCATTTTGGATTTCTCCTTCTTGGAACCCACCGACAGATTTCAGTTGTTATTATTTATATTACTCCAGGTTGTTATATATAGTAATTTATATTCACAGTGGACACATTATCCGTTATGACTCAAATAATTGCATTAGCGTTTTCTGCTTTTTGTTTTTGTGGCCTGGTATGGTAGGTGTCCTCCATTGGCCTATCCAAATCTCCAGCAATATCAGTACATCCTTTATCTGTGAATGAATTCAGTCCCCCAAAAGCTGTCAGTGAACACACGAGAATAAATAAACGACAGACGGATTGTAACGGTCCAGGCAGCTAGAGTTTGATCCCGAAGCATCTAAAAGACTGTTGCGTGAATACTGTGTTATAGTGGTTGAGAAGAGAGACAAAACAGGATCTCACATCGCACAAACCGCACATTTTAACCGATTTTACCTTCGTACGCAGCGGATATTTTCCTTGCATATCCTTGATCTTTCCCGGCAGTCTCTTAGCTTGTAGGGAGATTATTCGTTGATCGCTTTCCGAGATCTGACTGTGGTCCAGCGCCAAACTTAAATGGTACACTGTGAGTAAACGGAAATTTATGATGAGGGCGCTGGAAGATGTGAACAATCAACGCCAGCTTTCAGCCACAATTCTAATGAAAGCTCCTGATGTTTAGGTAGGATGTAAGAGTAGGTCATGCAAACACAAAGAAAGAAAGAAACCTGTAAACCAAACGATCTCATAAATATTGATATTTCCAACAAAAAAAATCGTTCTCATTCAAATGAGGACTTAAGCTCAACAGGAGCGTCTACCAGCTGAGACCATTCAAGAAACATACCTGCATGATATAACATCCTGTAATCTGTGGTGGGCGTTATCCGCACTTTCTCCAAAGCAAGTACCACTTCCTGTAAACTGACTTTGTCGTACTTCGGACTGTCAGCTGCACCTTCACTAACTTTCTCCATATCTATATTTGTCTCTTCAGCGATATCACCTGATTGCGGTACCCTGGATGCAGCTCTGCATATCCTAAAGTATCTCAAACTGTGCGATAGCGCGTATTTGGCTCGTATCCTCCTATAATTGGAAGGACAGTATCAAACTGATTTGAGGTGTTTCTCCAAATGCAAGCATTTTCTCCACACATTGACTACATCGATGATTAATAAATAAAGAACAGCACATTGTAGGTGCCACTTCACAGATCATTGTTGCTGTTGCTACAAACAAATGCATATGTATATATATATATATATATATATATATATATATATTATGTGTGTGTGTGTGTGTGT